CAATGAAACTGCAATTGTTTAAACAAAATAATAATAAAACACACTACTTTGTTGGCTCGTCGTGCACGCAAAACCCATTTAATTTATTCAGTTGCACGGCCCATTTTGTTGTTTTTTGGTTTAACATTTTGTTTGTCTAGTTATTTCGGTGCTATTTGCTCTGTGAAATGTGTGTCAAATGAATTGAAGTCGGCACTTGATGTTATCCGTTTCAATCGATTGCACACGATTGATTGGACAATGAATCATCGTTACATAATTTATATTCTAGTCAAGAGTTCTTGGATTTCATGGGGAGAATTATAAGTAGAGGAAATGCACAATAACTGCAGGAAATGCTGACTTACAGAGTAAAAATCGATAACTATTTATTTATTTACTATACACTTTTATTAAAAAAAATGTATTACATTTTTTTTAATTGTATATTGAAAAAATTGATTTAATAAATTGATTTGATTTAATAAATTATAAATTTGAGCTCATGTTTTAAAAATCTAAAAAGTTGGGTTTGACTGGGGTTGACTGCATATATGATAAACAATGATATATTCGATCAAATTTCCTTTATAGATAACATCTTTTTTTGTTTCTATAGTAGATTTCCTGTATTTCTCTAAGGAAACCAAAAACCGGTATCAATTTATAATGACCACCAAAATGTCTATAATTTGTGCCCCAATTTGATGCAATTTCCCTTATCACCGATGAACGCAATTGAAGGTCAGTTGGAGTTTGCCATTTCCATTGGGCATTGGGCATTGGGCTTTGGGCATTGAGCATTTGGCCTAATGTTTTATTTTCTTTTGCTCACTTTTAGAGCTCGAACTGGGTAACGAGAGCAGATGCCAATCAAAGTCATTATTCATAATGTTCGTTGGCGTGTTTCGCCGCATTTTTCCAACTAATTTTTTGCCTGCATGAGCTGCGTTTTCAATTTCGAACTTTTTTTTTAGCTGTTGTCTGCCTCGGTTAGAGCCGCTTGCGTCATTTTGCTAATTTTAGCTAATTTATTGCAATGCCAGTGGAAGTGCGCTGGTGGGATGATGTTGGCCGGCGTCAGTTGGCAATTTGCATTCGACTCCGAGCCACGTTTGCCTACGGATTGTGATTGTTTCGGCATTGTTCAGGAAGTGTGAGCCTACTTTGACAAATTGATGTGTGCTCACTGCATAATGCCCACAATTTATCAATTTCAAGAGATATCTATTGACCCAATTCCGAGCTTCTCCCCGTTTTGCCGGCGAACCAATTTCAATAGCAACCAGACTCGCAACAAGATTACACCGCTTGGATAATAACCAGCTGTATCTTGGGGTCTGAATCTCGATCCGGGGTGAGTGAATGTGGATGTGGATATGGATGTAGTGGAGTGGAGTACTGGTCTTGTGACATCATCGTCATGTATGTCTGTTGCCGTGAATGAAATGTGTTGGCAGCGGCAGCGGCAGTGGTAACAACAAATCATTATCGCCTCTCGGCCATCAACGTAAGCCGCATTTTACTGCTGTCTTGTGACGCCTAAGACAATGATCAGCATGCACGGGGAAAAATATGATCTCATTTCGGCTATCATCTGGATTGTATTTCATATCTATAGGTTCTACCATGTGGGGATTGTTCAGTAAATATTGGTAAATATTTTACTTGGTAAATATTTTAAATAAAAAGGTGTTTTCTAAAGATAATATTCTCATACTTGACATATTATTTTGAAATATTGAGTATTGAATATGTATCAATATTGAACATGTATAATTAAAAGGATATTTTCTAAGGAATAAGATCTCATACTTGAAATATTATTTTGAAGTGTTATTTATGAATCATAAATCATTACTGTTTTTATCTTAAATGATTTAAATGTAAATAACTAAAAATTTGAAAGGCAGCAATGATCTTAACTTTAATTATTGGGAACACTATATTCAAGTATTTTTTCCTTAAAATAAAGTTGGGTTTTGAACTATATTTAAGACCGTTAAAGCCTTTGCTTTAATGGACTTCAAATAAGTCTTTGATACCTAGCTGCAATAAATAGCCCATGTTACCATATTTTTGATGTTTAAGACCATACTTTTTTCTGGGTGTATATTATATGCCAACGAATATTCATATGTATGTCTTTCGTTTTCAAAGATTAACTGTTATTTTAATTAATATCCAATTGTCATTTAATGTTGCATTATTTTATAGCGAAAGCTACAAGCTAAAGAAAAACGGCGAACGTTATGGCTTACATAATAAAATATCAATTAAAAGTCATACCACTATTACAAAAACATAAAAGCAATGGTCGAATGGTAGTTTTTATTTTATATTTCTATTATATAACTAATATTTCTGAACTAGATGATGGGTTTTTCTCTTTTATTACTTCCCCATGTTATTCATTTATAAAAAGCTATAGAGCCACATATTCTTTACCGTGCAGTGGTCACTTTGAAAATACCTTCCTGGCCATGACTCGCCAGCGGAGTTCTCACCGCTCGGCAGGAAGTGGAAAAGCGTTTGTCACGGGTTATTGATATGCGCTTAATATCTCGTAATGCCGTTGATGCTACTGTTGCCGAGCCAAGAAACCAGCGGAAATCAAAGTCATGATGCCGTGAGTTGCAGTTGACGGTTGTTTGTTTGCTCTGCGCTTGATTGCTGGCATCTTGCAGATACTTTTTAGCTCGTACTTAAGTTGAGTTACAGCTACCACTTTATGCTGATGCTAACCCATTTGCAATGAGTCCGCACGCGATCCGAAAATTCGGCTCTGTTGACTTGACCCATTTGGCGAACAGAAAGTTCGCCCTGGAGCCACGAAATTCATTACAGAATGGCAGTGTTCGGTGTTCGAGTGATTTAGCATAATCCTATACGTGTTTCGTTGTGGGTGTGGAACCGGTTTTCTGTTTTCAGTCTTATATATATTTTGAGTTTTGACTATTTGCCAAGGTTTAATATCCGTCTTTCGATTTGCAGCTCACACCATGAAGACCGGCACTCCAATGGACATTTTCTACACAGCGCTGCATTTAATCGTAAGTATTATTTTATTTTTTACATACTATTCTGGAGAGAAATTGCCGGTATTGTCGGCCAGAACACATCAATCAAAGAGCAGCCCGACTGAATGACAATTGCATGCCAATGCGATTAACCTGAATAGGAGACGCTGGAGGCCAGTTGGTGACTCCCTCCTCCTCCTTCTCCTCCTCCTCCGTATGCTAAATGCGATTCCAGCCAAGTGGCCAAAAGTGGCACACCGTGGCCCCAACTTCTAAGCCGCTTGGCCTCCAAATCGAGCCGAGATCCAACAGATTTCAGGTTCGGGTTCAACTCTAACCTAGGCACCAAGCTGGCGAAAGTTTATTCGCCAGTTTCCTTTGGAGAGAAGCCTTAGAATCGTGAGAATATAATGTTTGCCCCTATCTGCCGGCAACACGAAAACGAAATTTCCACTTTAATTAAAGAAGCTTACTGGCGATGGATTATGCCAGGGACTTAATGTCGGCTTGTCGTGATTTATGTCAACGCTTTGTGGCCCCAAAGGGGTCGGGTATCTATAGTCCATAGTATATATCCCATATAGCATGCCAACTATGCTAATGTGTGACTTGTCTCCACTTTCTTTGCAGACAATCGCAGCTCTGACGACGCACGCGGCGCAGATACCAACGGCAGTCAGTGAGTACATAAATCTGTCTATTAAGAAGCTAAACCAAAATCTATGGATTGGGGCTACCAAAGAAAAATTGCTAACAAATTGATAGCGAAGACGCGGGGGGCTTTTGTTTGCCTCCGATCACTTAAATGACATTCAAATGAGGCATCAACATCTAGCCCATAAACTGGTTATCGCTCAATATGTTAATACAAGATTTTAAATATTTGTTATTGAGAATAAAGGTTGGTAAACATTTTAAAACAAGGCATGGACAAATAATCAAAAAAACATATATATAGATAGAAGTGTAGTAGTTAAAAGTTAGCTTTTGAATTGAGAACTATAAAAATAATTTAGATACTAAAACAGTCTTTTGGTTGCCCATTTAATTTGTAGCTATAAAGTCTGTAACATTAACAACGCAAACCCATATAGGTTTTTAAAGAGGTAAAGCAATTGGAGATCATTCACAGAATTATGTAAAAAGATATACAAGTGCTTTAGAAAAGCTCAAAATATATTTAATAAATATTCCCTGCAAAGTATTATCTTATGTTGTTCAAAAATAAGGCCTTAGACCAGAGTTTTAAACTCCTCGGTATAGAAATGAAGCTAAAAAGTATGGGGGTTATTTAGATTGAACTAATTCTTATATTTTAATACTGTCTGTAGTTTATTTTCAACACATTAAAACTAAACTTTTTAAACCTACAAATTTATTTAAAAGAAATTATACAAATTCCTTAGACAAAAATAGCATTACAATGATGAATTGTTTCCCCTCCCAAAACGATTACCTAATTAGTTGTAAAGACACTCCACTTTAGTCCGCCAGCGCAGTTTGCCATTGTTAAGTAAACCGGCTAAGTTGACTGTTGTCTTTCTGGTTGCAAAATCTCTGTTGACTCTGTTGGCCAAAAGCCGAACGCCGAAAGCAGGCATTATAATCGCATGGCAAACAAAAGTCTATTGGAGTCGACTGGCCAAACATTGCGGCACACTTCCTTCTGGCTTTCACATTGCGTTTTTGGGTTTTCGTTTTTTTGTTTTTTTGGAGTGGGATTTGGCTAAGACCCCGTTGACCTAGGAGCCATGATCGGGCAGCGATTCGTGCAGCGACTGCAAATAGTTGAGGAACTGCTGGTAGCTGAAGAACTGCCCCTGGTTTCCACCTGGATGGCGATGGTACGGGCACCGCTTGTCGAATATCCACCTCCTCTGCTCCGGCGGATCGAACTCCTTGACCAAACCGAAGATGCGCTCCTTCAGGTGGCAGAGTTCAGCGGAGATGTAACTGGATGATAAGATCTTTGATAATCAGGACTTTAACTACTGGTTTGGCTCACACAAAGGCTTTGCTAACTGTCTCCTGGATTTTGTGACTTTGGCAAATGCTGTTCAACACCAGGGTCTTCTGTTCCCGCTGCAGAAATCTCAGAAAAATCGGAGGAAGTAGGCAGAAACGCACACAGCCCATTAGCTCCTCCATCAGAATCTTTCTGGCCGACCAATGATGACTTAGCCAGCGAACTGCACTCATGAAGATCTGTGGATTGTAGTTATTACAATTATAAATTATGGGCGCACAAGTATTTAAATCGGGTACAAAATATTTGGACTTGCTACGTTCCTTTTTGATTGAAAAGCATATTTTCGAATATAAAATCAATTACAAAAATAGTCAAGTAAACAATTAAAAAAAATATATATATATCATATTTAAACAAAAAATAAAAACCGCAATGAATATAAATCAAAGCGAAAAGTATTTAAATTCAATACAAGATATTTGGATTTACTACGATTTTTTTACCAGTTTAGAAAAGATCTGTTGAAAGCCCACCTCAATTTCACTATTCACGCCCACATTGTTCATACTTAGGAGTTTTCGAACCCAATAAAAGTCCAGTTCCACGAATTCCTTGGAGGCCACCAAAGTCAGAAAGAATTCCTTAATACGACACAACATGAGAAACTGAATCAGACGAATCTTAAATTTCTGAGCCTCTAGAAAAAGTGTAAAAGCTAGGCTGCCGGAATTCCAGCTCTCATTGAAGCATATATAGGTAAATTCCTGCAACTCATCGATTTTCAGAAACTTGGCTGCACTATATAGCTCCACAAGGTTGCAGCCACCCTTTGGTTTCTCTCGTTTTTCCTTGATGTCCAGCATCCAGTGGTAGACGACAAGAAAGGCCGTCGGGGTCACCATTTCGATTGGCAGGTGAGCTGTGAGGGTGTCCACCTTTTCGAAGTTCAGGAAATACTTGGAGTGCGACTGCAATACATGCAGATGACAGCAGAATTTGTATTTGCCCACATAAACCTTGAAGGAGCCGGATGAGGAGTCACTTAGAATTCGGCGAAGCTCAATATCCATGATGGTTTTAGTGGGTTGACAGCAGTTTAGATCTTCGTTGCTAGGACTTTGTTTAGCCAGAACACTAAATGAGTTGCTAAGGGGTTTCAGCTCCAAAGTCATTGATGTTTTGGAGGGACTGTAAGGAGATAAATCGTTAACATTTGGAAAAAGAAAATCTTAAGTTCAAGACATTATGGACTACACTTCCATCTATAAAATATTAATGTAATCATGAACTTAAGACCAAAAAGAATTATTATTAAGTCAAAGACTACTTTAAAATGTAATTTCAGGAAATGTAGTCCGTAACTCCTTGGTTTTTAATTTTTTTCTGGATGTTTGGTGAAAGGTAAAGAAAGTTTTTTTTTACACTCGAAATAAAGTAAGAAAACTATACTTCGCACAACTTGAAGGAAACATAATTTTTGTTATGTTTGTATTAAAAAATCATTATTCATTAGTGTGTACTTTTTTCTTAACAAACTATTTAGTGTATAATATTAGTATAAAGGCTACCTACCTTATGTTCTCCGAATTAAAGCTCTCTTCAGTAGTATTGGCATTCTCGTTAATAATAAGCTGTTATTGATTAGAAATCATATTATTTATACACTTCTTGCTAGTTTAGAACCCTCCACTTACTTCTTGATTGGACAGCGAGGATTTAACTCCTAGCTGAATAGCTGACTCAATTGGTTCAGCTTCCACTTCAATTTGCTTCGTATATGTACCAGTTATTGTTGAAGCCAGATCTGCTGCAAAAGAATTGATGATCTTAACCTGATCTTTGCCTTCCTGTTTTGACTCATTTTCTGGCCCAATCTCATCCATTTGTGCACTTAAAATTTATCTTTGTCCATAAACTTGGTGAAAGCGATCGATAATTTACCTCAAATTAGATCCAAATCACGAAATATATCTCATAAATCAGAGAGTAAAAAACTGATTAATTTTTCGAGGCAACACACGACACTGCGATTGAGATGTATACTTTAGGTTGAGGTTTTTGCATTTTCTTTGTTCGCTGAATGCCAAGGGAACAAACAGCTTGGAGAGGAGTAATTTATGCGAACCATTGTGGTTTTTGGACTAGTTTGTTCTATTTGAGGAGTGCATAGTGCAGTTCGGCTCGCCTGCCGAGACCATAAAATTATACATAATAGAAAGCCATTAAATGTTTTATGTGCCAGTCGAGTTGAGTCGTGTTGAGTCGAGTCGAGGAGTGGAAGTGGATGTGGATGTGGATTCCAATCCACTTCCAGTAAGAAGAAAACCGGCTCTGCGATGGCCGTGTTGCATGCAATTACTTTGCCCAGAACCGCAGTAAGTGATGCGAAATGCGGCAAGGTTCGTTGAACCAACTCGACCGAAGGCATCCCATCCCCATCCGAACCATATATATCTATATACTGTATACACACCGTCAACTGCCAGGGCGAACGTGCCTGGGCAGCTTTCCTCCGCTCGTGGTCTCTTCTTGGCCAATTGTGTACCTTTGCAGAGGAGGAGCTGAGGTGCCAGCGGGGAGTTCTTGGCTGAAAGCAGGAAATGCCAAGAGCACAGCCAAATCCCAGCCTGGGTCTCGAATTGTTTTGCTGAAGTTCAAGGAACTTGCTGCGCGGCGTCTTTCTAATGGCCACGAGCGCTTCTGTGGCGTGTCTTCGCCCCACGCTGCCGCTTCTGCTGATACTCGATGTTGCCGCTTCAATGGCTTCTCAATGTCATGAGTATGCACTCAAAAAAAAAAAAACAGCAACTCGAATTCAAGAAAATTTCAAAATTTATGGAGTTACCATGCAATAAATATACCTTATTCAAACAAATGATTACTTATTGAATGCTGTTTCACTCTTTAACCTTATTAAAATTATATTTATAGAATTAGTTGAGGTTCAAGCAGTACGGTTCAAAAACATTTTAAACTTATGGAAAAACTCTGTAATACATTTACAAGCTTATTTGTATAATTATATATGTAAGTTACGAACCGTGCTTAAATACATTTTAAAATATATACTCGTATTTCTAAGGGGAAATGTAAAAGTGATTGTTAGTTTGAAAATGTTAAAATCGTTTTTAGTTTCCAAATGTTACAAAGTTTAAAGTTTTACATAAACTTTGATATCAACAAATTATTGGCCAATGCCTAGTTTTTATAGCTTTACATTTTAGTGTCAGTGCACTAAAGTATTTGGCTATAGTCTTCCGCATGCCGGCTTCAACTTGGAGCCATAGTCTTAACTAAATACTGCTCCCATGAGCCATTGTCTTGGGTTTTCAGCTCATGATTTATGCCAATGACTCTGGAGGTTGCCTGCTGGCCGTCTAACTGTGCTTTTTCGGGAGTGGGCCTGTCGTGTTTCTGTTTGCATTTCATAATTTCCGATTTCCCCGATTTCCTCGATTTCCCCTTGCAGAGGATGCGCAGAGCTCACTGAGCGAGGCGATTGCGGCGGCGGAGAAGGAGGCGGAGGTGGCCTCCACCTCGAAGCCGGCGGTGGAGCCGAGTGTGCGGATCAAGTGCCTGTCCGGCTCGATGCTGATCACCATCAAAGATGCTCCTCCGAATCACGAAACGGGGCTGTTCAGCGGCATGATCTACCCAAAAGGCCTGTCCAAGAACTCCACTTGTCTCAGTGAATACAGGTGAGTGTGGCCACTCGCACTTTGGCTAATCCAATCCAGATTTTAATCCATTTAATAATCTCTACCCCGCAGAGATCATGTGGGCTCCCTGCGCTACAAACTGCCGCTGAGATCTTGCAATACGATGCCGAAGGAAACGGTAAGTCTAGAATTCCATTAAACACCCACTCAGGCAGATGGTATATCTATAGATATAGATAGCCGATCGTAGGTGACGCCATATTTCCCATATGCCCAACTGGTTCTACCATTTTGGCATGCAAATAAAAAATTAAACATTAAGCTTAAGCACTTATAAGGCAGCCAGACCCGGTTCATTGGTTACAAGGTAAAGTCCATATGCCAAGATGATTAGTCCATTGAAAGGTTGAGTCAGAAATGGCCATCTCACGCACCTTTTGCGGCTAAACTAATGATGCGATTGCGATGGCCTCACAGAGTTTTCAGCTAAAATAGCTGTCATTAGACATGGTGGATAAAAATTAAGATTCTAATGGTTATGGGCTTGGCTTTTACAAGTGTCTATCGTTTAATTAGATTCAGCTAAAGGTGATTGCATGGTGAAATTTTTATTCCAAGGAAAAATATTAACGTACAAATGAGTAAGGCTAAATAAGGAAATTGGCAAAACTAATATTTTCTCAACAAGTTTATCTGGAAACTAGAAACATGAAAACTTATGTTCCTAGAAAAATTGATTATGTAAAAATAAGTAAGTCTAATTTAGGAAATTTGATAAATTAATATTTTCCTAACAAGCTTGTTTAGATAGTTTCTAATTAATTTACATTTTCATAGCCAGAATCTATTTCTTGAGTCAGCCAAAATCACTCAAAAGCCAGTTTTCCCAAGATCTGTGACCTGAGCAAGCGTGTTATTGATCTGAACCGCCCGATTGAGCGTGACAAGCCGTCTCTCATCACCCTGCAAACGATATCAAATAATCCGAAAGACGGCCAAGATGTGCCATATAAATTTCAGTCTCTCGCTTTGCCATTAGGTTTGTCTAATACGTATATGGCCCGACTTATTTATTGGCTCATTCAGTCGATCGATTCGGGCAAACAACGGGCTGTGTTTGTGCTGGGATCTGATTTTGAAATCTCAATTAGCACTTAACCGGGCTAATGCGGCTGCAACTCACGCACCTCGGCAGCAAAGGCATTTTTATAGCCACTGCCTCTCAGTCCGAATGTGATACATATTTAATGTAATTTTCTCGGCACTTATGGGGCCAGTGTTTTGTAATTTGCTGCCTGTAGCGGCTGCTGCTTGCCGCTTTTTCCTTTCGCTCGATTGGATTGACACAATTTTTGAAATTACCAATGTTAATTGCAGTTACGACAGTCGATAGCCGCAATGTGGCAACTAAGTGCAGTGCGTTCAAGAACCGCAAGATGTTATGAGAAGTCAGCGATTTGGGTTAGCTGGCTACTTTATGATTGCTACAGGCAACTAAAAACTTCTGAAAAGAGCTTTAATATATTTACGAGGCATTTGATTTTAAGTAGTATTTAAGAATTTACGGTAAAGTCAGTAAAAAAATTGTATATTTTTAACAATAAAGAAATATATAGTTTGCCTAGATTTTTGCGATGGAGATAGCCTTACTTGAAATTTAATGTGCAATAATAAGTTCCAGTTGAATATCTTAGTTGGTTGCTTAAGTCATTTGTTTGTTATCGATTTTTTGTGCTTAAAATGCTCACCATAATATAGTATATAGAATATAGTATTCTGATGTTTGGAATTACTTTTTATGCCTTTTAAAAAGTTAAGTCAGCAGATAGTAATCATGTATTAAAATTTAAGCACAGTTGAATTTTCATAACGATTTATGCGAAAACTGACACACCCATTTTTGATTTTTGATATCTCTGTACATATTTAAGCACATACCTAAGTTCGTTGCCTAAGTCATTTGATTTTGATTAATATTATGTGCGAAAAGTGGTAACGAAATACAAATTTAATGATCACTGTACATATTGAGAGTTACCTGCCATTTATAGCACATACTATATAGTATTCTTTAGTTTGCTATTCGCTCAGTTCGTTGCTTAAGTCTTTCGTTTTTCATTGCTTTGTCCTTCGCCGCTCCGCCTGTTCTTTTTTTTTCTGTTGATCCAAGCAATTCACACAAAGTGTTCAATAAGTAAGAATCAGTAAATATTA